CGGGTTCTCACCCCGCAGGGAAGGGGGGCAGACGCCCGAAGGCGAGGGGCAGGCCGCACAAGGCGGTCCGTCTGGACTGGTTCTGAGTTTGGCTACTGGGTCCGTCATTCCTGTGCTGGGGAAGAGGAGGGGCCTCGCTCTGGGAGGGGCCAGGCCAGCGAAGGCCCCGCCAGCGGCTCAGGAGGCCGTTCCCACGGGAACGGGGATGGGCGTGCTGCAGGCTGGCGGCGGCTGTGCTCAGACACCGGCTGGTTACACACAAGCCAAATAAAACCCTGCCGTGTTGGCAGGGACCTTCTGTGTGAAGAGTTTTTCTTCTCCTTTTCAAGGTCAAACCAGCCCGGTGTTTCCTACTTTAACTGACAGATTCCATTCTGCAGCCCCTCCCATAAGGGAGAGCAGCCACTGAGTCCCATCAGGTCCCTAATGTCTCCATGACCAGATGTTCCATCACACGGTCAGCGACCTGGGTCCTCTGCTGTGCGGTCAGTTGTGGGCGCCCCCTGCTGTGCGGTCAGTGATGGACGCCCCCCTGCCGTGCGGTCAGTGGCGGGCGCCCCCTGCTGTGTGGTCAGTGATGGTGCTGAGACACTTCTGGGTGGAGCCAGGGACCCTTGGGAGCTCAGTGGCAGAGCCCACGCCCCCACTTCTGCTGCTCCCCCTTTTTTCTGTCGAAGAGGCAAAAGGCCTGGCCAGTTCTCAGCTGGGGGTCCTTCAGGCCAGCTCTGCTCCACGCCAGGCTCACTGGGTGAGGGAGCACCAGGTGAGCTCTGGGTCCCACTGACATGCTGATGACGACCGAGCGTCCTGGCAGCTTGCCCCTCCCTGCAGGTTGTCTGCCCTCCTGGGTGGGAGAGGGCAGGGAGTCAGGGGCTGCAGATCAAGCTGCCCTGCGCCTGCCGGAATGGCTTCATCCACAGCACGTGCCGGCGAGGCCACGGGGCAGGTGCCCTCAGCACAGCTGGCGGGAAACTGTGTGGGGTTTCCTCAAAAATTAAGACTAGAGCTACCGCCCTGGCCAGAGTGCTCAGGGGTTAGAGCGTCAGCCTGTGCACCAGAGGGTCTCGGGTTCAATTCCTGCTCTAGGGCATGTACCTCGGCTGCGGGTTTGATCTCCAACCACGGTCAGGAGTGTGTGCGGGAGGCAGCCAATCGATGTGTCTCTCTCACATCGATGTGTGTCTCTCTCTCTTCTCCTTCTTCCCTTCCACTCCATCTAAAATCAACGGGAAAATATTCTCAGGTGAGGATTAACAAAACAAGAGGATAGAAGAAAAAGAATAGAGTGACCACATGATCCAGCAATCCCACTTCTGGGTGTTTGCTCAACAAAAAACATTTATTCATAAAGATATGTGCACCCCCATGGTCACTGTAGCATTCTTCACAGTGGCCGAGACATGGAGACCCCGAGTGTCCTTGGACGGAGGGCTGACAGAGAAGGGTGCATGCCCACAGGGCTGCCGGCCATGAGAAAGGGGGGAGGCTGTCATTTGTGACGGCGTGGATGGAGCTCGAGAGCATCAGGCTAAGTGAGGTCAGACGGAAAAGCATGAGAGCCGAGTGATCTCACTCACACGTGGGACATGAAGCTGCAAGCGGCGACTCAGGGTCAAGTCCTGAAGGGTCGAGTGCATGGTGACGGAGACCAGACTGTGGGTGGGAGCACACGGTCAACAGGTGTCACATTATGACCTCGCTCCTAAAGCTTGTCACTCACCAATGTCACCCAATACGTCCAATTTGAAGAGAGTCACCGGCCAGGCAACCGGCCGCCACTCCCCTCCCTGCCTCCTGCCTCCTGCCTCCTCCCCGGTCTTACCTGCACATCACGCTGATGCCCTGAAACAGGACGGGGAGAGAGACACGTACTCAGTGACCAGTTAGGGGACCCCCTCTCTGGGTCCCAGGCTGGCGGTCTTACGGCCGCCGCCTCCGGCTTTGGTCCCCTCGTGCCCCTGCTCAGGCGCACAGATCCCACGCTTGTGGTGACACATCAGATTCAGAAAACCAACTGCTCCCTGCCCGCCGGGAGAAAAGACCAAACCAGCAAAACCAAACAGATCATTTTATTATCATCGTCCTTTACTAGAAAATTACTAAAAATTTATATATATAAAAGCCTAAGTGACCATTACGACTTGACAACCGGATGACCGGCCAGTAGCTGTGACATGCACTGACCACCAGGGGGCAGATGCTCAATGCAGGAGCGGCCCCTTGGTGGTTAGTACACCCCACAGCCAACCTCCCGTGGCCTCGCCCCCTGACCGGCTGCCCCATTCTGGACTGGGCGAGATGGCCCAATCAACCCAATCGCTGGCCAGGCAGAGGGACCCCACCTGTGCACGAATTTGTGCACCAGGCCTCTAGTATAAATATAAAATCTCTAGAAAATTCCCAGGACAGCTCTGCAACCTTCCTCCCCCGAGATGGGACAGCAGGGGCCTGCACTGACTTGGGACAGGAGCGACCTGGCAGAGCTGCGGTCAGAGGCCAGCTCTCCGGGTCTCAGCCCATCATCAAGCCAAACCCATCATTCCTGACCCAGCCCGACTCCTGACCAGCCCCAATGCTGAGGCAGGAGAGTGGAGTGTGGAGGTCTAGGTGTGTGTGGCATCAACAGGGAGAACGCCCCCAGTGCTTCCCCCAGGGCCAGTGGCTGTGTCCACTGGCTCAGCCAGCAGCAGAGGGCCCACAAGAATGAGGTCAGGGCCAGCCCATCTCCACCCTTTTCCTAGGATGTGGGGCTCTGCTGGGGCTGTGGGGGGCTGAGGGTGGGTGTGCGTGGAGCTGGGGGTGAGGGTGGAGGAGAGTGCAGGGGCTCTACTCAAAGGACAGCAGGTCAGGGTGCGGCCCCTCGCTGTCCAGGCTGCAGGTCCGCACCCCGGGGCAGGGGCTGCTGTCCTGTGGCAGCTCAGCCGGGCGGCCAGGGCTGAGGCTGGGCTGGAGTCCGCTGCTCTCGGTGGGGCCGGGCGGGGAGACCCTCCTGCACTGGGCACCCTTCAGCCTGGGCTCGCCCGAGCCATCCGGGTGGATCAAGTCAGGCACCGACAGGGACGCCTCGCCGTTGGGCAGGGCCACGTCCACAGTGGCCTCTGGCGGTGGAGCCCCCGCTGGGCCGGGCTGGGCAGGGGGCGGGGAGCACTCCAGGCTGCTCAGCACGGGCTGGGCCGAGATCAGCATGTCCTGTGTGGTCTTCAGCGCCCGGGGCATTCGCTTCCGGGTTGTGGGTGGCGGCGGTTCTAGCCGAGGGACGGCTTCTGGCAGGGCCGGCCTGCAGGGGTGACAATGACACACCTGCCCGACGAGCCCCCGCCCAGCTGTATGCTTGCTCCCCTGCAGCACCCGTACCGGGACCACACCTGCTCTCCCTCCCATCGCAACCTGGGGCTCAGCGGCTCAGCACAGTGGCTTCGGGCTGTGGCAGACTCGTGCAGAGGTCAGAGGTCAGAGGTCAGAGCGGTGCAGTGAGGACCCTGGGGACGGGGGGAGGCACTCACCCGTCATCCTCCCCGCCGGGCGTGCCGGCCAGCTGGGCCTCAGCCGTCCTGTTGACCTCCATGGCGCCCACGCTGCCCAGGCCCCAGGGCTCCCTCCTCCGCAGGAAGTCGTTCACCTTGGCACCCACGGCTTTGCCCAGGTTCCGGAGGTGCTGGCTGCTGCCCACCCAGAGGCCCGGCCCGCCCAGCTCCACGGGCCCCAGGGGCCCCAACCGGGATGCCTGGGGCCCAGAGTGGCTGGCCTGCGGCTTCGGTGGGAGGGACGCGTTCAGATTCTCAAACATGCTGTGGCCCACTAGGAACAGACAGAGGCGGCGAGTGAGCGGAGGCGTGCACCCCGCTGTCGGCATGTCCCGCCCCGCCCCATGCCCAGGGCTGTGTGAGGAGGTAGGGACATCCAAGACAGAGCCAGCAAGACCCCGGACCTCCCCGTCCGGGTCCTGGGTGGGACATGGGACTGGAAAGTCTGGTCTCCCCACCCCGGTGAGCAGTGACGGCTGGAGCGGGAAAAGGCTAACCCACCCCTTTAAGCTGCCTCCCAGACTCACGGCTGTCCCCTCGCCGGGACCACGAGCCCCTGGGAGTAAGGAAACAGGATGAGGCCGTGGAACGGGCGCTCTTGCGTTGCTGAGAGTACGTGTGAGCTGCGCCTCGGGCCTGGACAGCACGGGCAGGCGGCAGGTGTGGGTGCTTCCCCAGGGAGCCTCGTGCATAGCAGTGTCCCCAGGGAAGTCGGCGCTGACCGCACCCACCGGGGTGGAACCTGGGACAGTGGGCCAGCCCCGCAGAGGCTCCCCGAAGCGGGAGAGGACGACCCCAGCTCACTTCGTCCTCACGCATCCCCCAGAGAGCCGGCGAGCCGGTGGGAAGGAGCTGTCTGCTGAGGCGCCTGGGCCCTGACAGCCGAGGTGGAACCAGAGCTCCATTTTGCCGTTCGATGCTTTGCCAGCTCCTGAGCCTGCCTGGCGCCCGTCCCTCCCTCGGGGCCTCTCTGGCTAGCACAGTCCACGTCTCATTCATCTCTGTATCTTCAACAGCGGGCCTGGGTCTTACACACAGTAGGTGCTCAATAAATATTTTGAGTTTAATTCTGAACCCATTTTGCAGATGGAAAAGTGTGGAAGCCAAGCGTGTAGCTCAAGGTTTGTAATGAGAGTGGCTAGAACTCCATGCCATGCTGTCCACACTCCCGTGGCATCCTTGCCCCTGCAAACCCAGCTCACACCGCAGGCGGCCAGACACGGGTTTCTTCAATCTGGGGAGGAGAGGTCTGGTTGGCCCAGGCTCCTGTCGGGTCAGCACCTCTGCGACCCGCCTGGCCTTGCCGGGCCATCCTCAGATGAGCTGAGGTGAGGGCACACTTCTCTCTGTTGGACTTCTGGCTGAGCGCTCCCCTGCCTGCGCTGCTGGGTCCTGCCGGGGAGCTCTCTGAGCGAGCAATCCCTCCTGACCAGTGACCTGGGAAGCCGCATTTTAAAGGTCTTTGGGCGGCAGGAGGCGCCTGGGGGAAGAGATGTGGAGACCTCCCTCCACGATGGACCGCAGTCTTGACCTCTGAAATGTCCCCTGACCGCTGTGCAGGAAAAGCACCCCTGTGGGGACTTGTGGGGACTCACTGAGGGAGTCCCTGGGGGCGTGGGGTGGAGACCCCCTGGCAGGAGCTCCCAGCTCAGCCCAAACAGGGCCTCCACCTCCAGGCCTCCTGAGGAGGTGGCTTGTTTTCTGCGTCATTTGCCAATCCCGTCCCACATCTCGTGCATTTTCTGTTATCATGAAATCTGCAAACCAGCAGCCAAGGCCTGGGAGACTAAGGCATTTGACGGTTTCCACCAAATCAGGAGGTGTCTGGACCGGAGAGTGGGAGGGCGAGCCCCTCTGGCTCCGGGCTGCCCGCTGGCTTACGGGGCCGAGCAGCCAGCGGGGCTGAAAGCAGGGCAGCGCTCTGCCGACTGTGGGCCCCTGCGACGACTCTTTCAAAAACGCTTTCTAATGAACATGAAGTAACCTTGCCCAGGCGCCACTGGCCGGCCTGCGCTCTCCCTCGCTCCTCTCCGAATGTGCTACGAGCCCTCAAGGAACTGAAAGCCCCTCAGGCCCTCTGCACAGCCCGAGTCTGCCCGCTGACCGTGTCTCCAAGACGACAGGCTGCCTCCTCCAGGGGACGGGCTCCTTGTGTGGTTTTTACTTCTGTGACGCCCGGCACAGGCCCTGTGCACAGCCGGCATTTGGTAAGTTGGTGTCACCCAGTGGAGTTTTCACATGATACTTAAAAACTGCCGCACCGTGGGCTGAGAAACATGCAGAAGCTGTTCCCAGCCTCTTCAATGCACACAGCCTGCTCCTCCGGGGTGTCTGCAGGGCCCTGGGGTCCGGCGGGAGACACCGCCCTTCTCCCCAACGTGGTCTCTGCCTGGGGCTCCTCACCCTCCCTCCGGCTCACTGATGACCCCACCCCACCCCGCCCTCGCAGAGGCTGGTGGTTCAGACAACGGTGGCGAGGGGACCCCGTGGCCCTCCCAACACCCCGACATGCACATTGCGTCTGGGGACAGTGATTCATAAGAAAGACGGTCTCTTACCTGTGCGACCGAGAAAGGGCTCAGAAAGCAGGTGGGGAGCAAACAAGAGAGAGACAGTTTATGCAGACGGACCACATGCGCGTGCCCTCCTGCCTGGGCCTCCAGCAGGGCCACCCCCAGGCAGAGGAAGGAGACAGAGGCCCCACAGCTATCACAGGCCTTGGGGCCAGCTCTCCTTCGGTTTTTCAACAAGTAAACAAAACAGCCGTGTCCAACCACCAAGCAGCAGGCGCTGGGCCCGCCCCACAGCTGCTTCACACCAGCGTCTGAGCTCCCGGCCACAGCGGCAGATCAACCGCCATTCCTATGGCCACGTGCGCAGCACTCATTACTGAGCCGTCTCTTTTCCACACGCAAATCGCTAGATTCCAGACCGGGAGGGTCGTCTGTGCCAACTGTCTGAATTAACACAGGGGCCAGGGAGCCAGGGCAGGTGCCACACGGGGCTGAGGGTGGAGTGGGATGACAGGCTGGCCCAGGTGCCACGGCCAAGGTGCCGGCACCAGCTCCCAGCCCACCAGTTCCCAGGCCCTGGTGAGGCTCATTGAGGCGCACCGTCCTGCAGACGGTCGGTCCCGAGCACGACCACAGACAGGACGGCAGCTCGGGCAGCCACAGAGGCCCGGGTACGCCCATACTCCCTGCTGTTCCCAGAGCGGGGGTGCGTCCTTGGCACAAATGTGCCCCATTTGAGATCTAAAGCGCGGTACGCACCAGGGGCTACACACCGAGTTGCCACCCTTCACAACTGTCTAGAAGGGGTGCCTCCAGCTGACCTGCACGAGGCCCTGTCCCCTCACCCTCCACAGCCCCCATGGGCCAGGCTGCTCGCAGTGAGCAGTGTGGAGTAAGCCGGCCGTTTGCTGAAGCAGACGGCACCCCCACTTAACCACCCCCCTCCCCTAGGAGACGGCACTGAAGTATAGAGCACAAAGCGGCTTTGTGTGGGCGAGCGGCCTTCCAGCCTCAGGAAAG